CAAAAACAAAAAAAAATTAAAAAACTTTGCCGAGTGCCGGGCATGGCACTCTGAGTGTCAAGAATAAGACGCTCAGCAAAGAGGATTTTTTTTTTTTTTTTAGAATTTTCCTCTTTGTCGAGTGCTCCAGGGGGCACTCGGCAAAGGCATAAATTTTTTTTTGCCGACGGCCAGATCGGGGCACTCGGCAAAGTTGCCTCTTTGCCGAGTGCCTCTCTGATCCGGCGCTCGGCAAAGGGCGCGGGTGGGGCACTTAGGCCCGCCCCCGCCCCCGCCCCCGCGCCGCCCTTGCCTTGATCCGGCTGGCTTTCCCGAGCGGCTACATGCCCGCACCCGCGAAGATGGCGAAGTCGCAACGGCGGACAGCGCCCTCCACCCGCGACTGCGTCGGCCGTCGGCGTGCCCCCCATGGCGCGGACGAGATCCTGGCGGGGGCGACGCCGGTGTGGGTGACCTCCTGGTCGGGGGCATGGCCAGGGCGGGCGAGATCCTCGCCGGTGGTGCGCGGCCTCCTGGCCGGGGCCGGGGCCGGCGCCGGGCCGAGTAGCCTCCTGGCTGGGGGGCCGACGCCGAGCCGAGCAGCCTCCTGGCCGGGATCGCGAAGATGAGCCTCCAACTCGCCGGAGCCATGCCAGGCGCATCGGCCTCGCGGCAGAGTGCCCCACTGGTTCCCACTCCAGCCCTGCTCTGGAGGAAGACGAGAGGTGAGTTTGTGCCTGTTGTAGAAAGAGACCTAGCTTTACTTAATCATTATTATGCCTTTTCTGAGAAAGAACTGTAATACTAGCGAGGTTTTGTCTGGTGATTTGGGGGATTTTGTTGATTCGATTCAAATGATGACAAGGTCACCTTACCTGCTCGTTTGGGTAATATTCAGTTCAATCAGTTTCCGTCCGTGATTTTGAGTAGGTTATATTGCTGGGATGCTGGCAACGGACGTAGGCAAATCTGTCAAAGTTGTGTTTCTGGTTCATCTGTTCAAGATGAACCGGTTTTGTTAGTTTTGTTTTGTCTATCCTCTCAACTTCTTTCCAAGGGAGTTATGAAATTCAGATGAAGGCATGTTAATTCAAAGGCATATTCTGTGGAATTGCTTTCTAGCTTTAAGGTGATGTGTATATACACAGGTCACGGGTATTGTCTCCCTCCAATGGAAATCCAAGAGATCGTTGATTTGCCACCGAATCCCAGTTACTATATTTCCCCTCGCCGTGGTAGGATCATGTTTCTAAAACGTAGAGCTATGGCTTCATTGTCAGAGCAACATCTATAATATATATTTATATATAATCTTGAATTCAAACATTTACATTGTAAAAGTAGTTTCTAGATGAATTTTTTTTGTCAACCTATATAATTTCTTTGATATTATGTTCTATGGACCATCACTATACCACAGGCAATCTTTGATATGATGCTCGGGGTGTTTCCCTGCACATGACAGATTTGCTCACAACAACTACACACTACAGCTGATTTGGCTGTGCAGGAAAAGAGGGCCCTCCAGGCACAATGCCTATGATCTGTCCAAGAGGCATTGATCTGAAAGATGGCGACCCTCGGAGCCAAGGACGTGGCCGCGAGCGGCGGGCGTTACGCACTTCGTGCAGGGTTGCAGGCTTTAGGGGACTGGTGCTTGGAGGGGCTGCTCGCTGGCCGCTGTCTGCTGCCTGCAAGTCTGCAAGGCAAGGACTGGGCTGAGCCTGTGCGAGGGCGAGTGCAAATGAATAGAGCGGATTATGTTTGGGAACGGTCAATAAACGTGTGCTTAGATTCTGCCTCACTTGTTTTATTTGCCAAATCGAATTGGTTACCTGCTTCATGTGTAGAACTGCAGTTCCATTGTTTAATGTTTATTGCCCTTCAAACATTTTAGCATTAGTGCGTATTATATTTAATCTTTTGAGTTATGGGCATAGTAAATTAGCAGGTCCCCAAAAGAACAAATATTCATCTGCTGTTAATCTGGACCGGAACCACCACAAGATTTTTTTAAAAAAAATTCAAACTTTGCCGAGTGCCTGCCAGAGGGCACTCGACAAAGATTTTTTTTAAAGAAAAATGCAAACTTTGTCGAGTGCCGGCCAGAGGGCACTCGACAAAGATTTTTTTTAAAAAAATTCAAACTTTGCCGAGTGCCGGCCAGAAGGCACTCGGCAAAGATTTTTTTTTAATTTTTTAAAAAAATAAAAATATTTGACGAGTGCCTGCAGGGTTGGCACTCGGCAAAGCCACCGTCAACGGATTTGGCGCCGTGACGGTCGCTTTTCAACAGATATCACATGTGGAGATGTCCTGGTTTATAAGCATCGTACGTGAAAACGTACACGAAATGTTCTCAAATTTTTATCATAGCCTCCACATACGATATCACGACATCTCAACAAGTTTCATGATTTTCGAACTTCGTTTGCTTTTTATAGAATTTAAAAACACTTCGCACGCAAGTTTGCGGTCATGTTTCGTGATCAAGATGTCCGAAATTTCGGATCCGTTCCTGGATACGGCCTCACACTACACTCAGTAACATGACTATCATTTTTGAATCATTAAATTACATTATTCGTACCACGTGCAGTTCAAATTTATATTTTTGAAAAAAATTCAAGTAAACGAAATAAAGTAACTAAATATATCAAAAAGCCACAAAAAATCCTCAAATTCTAAGTAGGGGTTCCTGATCCTTTAAAAGGGCTGCACAAAAAATTTGGAGGCCAAAAACAAAAATAAAATAAAAAACTTTGTCGATCGCGGGTATGGCACTCGGCAAATGGGGTCTTTGCCGAGTGTCAAAATAAGACACTCGGCAAAGAGGATTTTTTAATTTTTTTTAGAATTTTCCTCTTTGCCGAGTGCCTGCAGGGTTGGCACTCGACAAAGCCACCGTCAATGGATTTGGCACCGTGACGGTTGCTTTTTTTTGCCGAGTGCCCCCGGGACTCTCGGCAAAGCCTTTGTCGAGTGCCCGATAAAAGACACTCGGCAAAGAGGTCTTTGCCGATCAATTTTTTACCGTGTGTTCTTTGCCGAGTGCCGCACTCGGCAAAGGCTTTGCCGAGTGCATTTGCAAAGAACCTGAATTCAGTAGTGTAGAGAGGGAACTATAATAACGTGTCAAGAGCGAAGTAGCTAGCTAGTCATCATAGACGATCTCACGATCCATCTGCAGATTTGTACATCCACATCGAATCATGGATGATGGATTGATCGATCGTCTCAATGTTGACGTGGGAGCTAGTATATATACTTGAAAAAATAACACGAATACTATATATATATATATATAATCATGCATGGTGCACATCAAAGTAAGAAAAATGATTTCGTCATGATATTTGTATGCATTCTATATGACTCAGGAGTCAGGAGCATGCATGCATGCAGGATCCTGACGACACGGGATAGATCTTGCTATGGATTTGTAGCTTGACCAGCGTGCAGACATGTCCCCCCTGCCGTATGCATACGGATCGGAGTGAGCGACGACGACTCTGCCACAGAACCCAACAACTGTTCCTAGCTGCTATACATATACGTCAGACGATATCCAGACGACGATCGACGACACTGACTCGCTGCGATCTGAACCATGACGAATTGAAGTTAACAATGCATGTAGCAGATCTCTTCACTTTTCCTGCAAGAACAGCCTGGGTCACGGAAGAGGGAACAGACGTGCATGCTAAGTTACCTGCTACGTACTCCGTAGCTGCTATACGTACGTCGACGCCCAAGTACTAAAGTAGAGAAGCTGTATATCTATAGGCTACACATAGCGCGGGTTTTGTCTTCATTATCATACAGGATCGTGGATAGATGATGCTCGCGTATCTATCATCCCATATCATAGAAAGACGACTTCTCTACGCTACGCCGCAGCAGCAGGTGTATCCATTCGATTTGAACACCAACGACTGATGGTCTGGTGCGGTGGTACTACACAAATCAGAAGGCTGGATCTTCAAGCTATCCATGACGACACAAAATCTATATGTCGATCAGTGAATGCATGTATGTATATATAATAAAGAATGACAGAAACTCACGGGTCATCACAAGTTCCTTTTGACACCTACGTACGTACCCGGCCTCCGGTTTTCTAGAACCAAGGCCGCCAGAGCCAGACACAGAGCTCGTGAATTCGAAGAATCAGTCAAGATCAGCTATACTCCTATATGAGGGTTCAGAGGCCTTGTTTAGATTTTTTGCAATCTGGACATTGTAGTACGTTTCGTTTGTATTTGACAAACTTTGTCCGATCATGTACTAACTAGGCTCAAAAGATCCATCTCGTGATTTACAATCAAACTGTGTAATTAGTTTTTTTTTACCAACATTTAATGCTCCATGCTTATGTCAAAAATTGATGTGATGGAAAGAGAGTGAAAAAACTTGAAATTTGGAGATGATCTAAACAAGGCTAGAGTTTTTTTTTATGAAACGGTTCAGATTCAGAGTTCACTGTCACTGTCACTGTCACTGTCACTGTCGCGTATCTATCATCCCGTATCATAGAAATACGTTTCGTCAAAGATTCGCTCGTATCCATCAGAATCCTGGCTGGCTAGCTAGCTTGTCGATCAAGTTCACTAGCTAGCTAGCTAGCTCCGCTAGTGCTAGGCCACGTCTTCTCCGGCCGGCAGCTGAACCAAGGGAACGAATCGAATCGGATCGGATCGGATCGGATCCATGTACTTTCGGTCACGTTTAGTTCCCTAAATTTCTGAATTTGGCACTATACGTAAAAGAAGATTCATCATCACATTAAATTTGCGGTATATGCATGGAGTACTAAATGTTGACGAAATCAAAAACTAATTACACAGTTTGGTTTTACTTTATGAGACGAACATTTTAAGCCTAATTAGTCAACGATTGGACAATTATTACGAAATAAAAACAAAGTGCGGTACATGCATGGAGTCCGATGTCCGTTTCTATCCTGGTAGAGATCTTGCCAGGATGCTGAGAGAGCTGAGATCGGTGTCAGATCGCAAACGATGGCTACTTACATACTGCTGGACAAAGGGCAATCCATCGGTGTGGATGTGGAACAATGCTACCTAGCTCATCACGTACGTAATAGCTAGCCCGATCGATCGTGTTCTTGCCAAGTAGCTAAGCTAAATTCGATCGTGTTTATTGTACTATGTTTTTTTAGAAAAAAAAAAGACTGGCCATTAACATGAATGTGTGATTTCTGAAGCAATCACATATCATCCATCGAATCCGACCAGGACGCTTTCAACTATCTGTTGATTTGCATATATAATGTTGGAAAGCAACTCGTGCCAGCTTGTAGGAGAATGCATGGGATCCAAAGGAAGAGATATCCTGCACTTTGTGCGGTTGACGTTGACGCCGCACAAACTAACCGCACACATCTTACCATATGAATCCAGGATCCAAAAGCTGGCTGGCGAGAGTGGCCACGTCGCCTGCTTTTTCCGGCCGTTCGATCGGGCGCGCGGACGGTCCAGATCGGACGAGCCACAGTCTTTTTACAAAAAAACCCTCGAACTTTAATCGAATCAATCCGTAGTTCAGGCCTCCTCTTCTGCTGCGCCGCGCATCTCCCTCCTGCTCGTCCCTCGCTCCTCCCTTCGCCTAAACTAACCCTAGCGGCGGCGCGAGCAGGAGCGCGAGGCGACGACGTCAGCAGCAGCGCGCGCAGGCCGCGGTGACGACGACGCTCACGCAGGATCTCGCGAGGCGGCGGCGCGAGCACAAGGCGGCGACGCGAGGCACGACGGCGGGCAGCAGCACAAGGAGCAGCGCGGGCGACGGCGGCGGCGTGTGCGCTTGGCAGAGGTAGCCCGTAGATGAGCTCGTTAGAGGCGATGCCAAGAAGGTGCTCGAGCTTTTGCTACTCCTCTTCGTCTCCAGGCAGCAAATTTCTTACGTGCTGCTGTTACTGCTGGCCGCATGGATTCGCCGACGGCTACAGTAGCAACAGCGGCGCAACCCAAGGTCGGATGCCCGGATCGCCACTGCCGCCGTTACAGATGTGCTGGACACCACCGCCTCCGCAGCTCCGGCCACAGCCTACAGGCTACAGCTTCTGTGCCTCTGCGCAGCCACGATGATGGGGTCCTCCCATGTGAAGCCCCGCGCAACAGCAGCCTCACCACCAAGCCAAACGGGACGGCGACAACGGCATCCCGTCCACCTACACACCTGCGTCCACTGCCCCGGCAGCACCAGCCACCACCTCCCATGCTGGACTGAAGGTTGACATCGATAGTGCACATTCAGGTGTTTGACGGAATGCCCATGAGGTAAATACCACATCCTTGCCTCCATGTATATGCCATGATCAAGTGAACATGCATGTTTGACGCTGCAGAAACTAACCGCACACATCAATAATGAAAGTGTGGTCAGTGTCAAAATCGAACTTCCTGCTCTTTGATTGGAGACTTGTGCAAGATTTGTTAATTAATTTCAGAAACAACATTTTTTTTGCAAATCATAATTAATTATACTATAAACATATCACTTGCGTTGCTGCACGACTTGCGGGTGAAAAAATTGAAATGAAATTAGACAACATATAACTACTTATAAGAAGGGATAAATAAACTATTATAAAATAATAGTAGTGGATGACATGGCACGTATATGTTAGTGAATAATACTCCCTCTGCTCCATATAAAGTGACGCTATAGGAAAAATGTTGGTCAAACTCTTTCAATTTTGACTAGATTAGTAGAAAATATTAGCAATTTTTTAATATCCAAATAAGTTTATTATGAAAATATTTTCAACGATATATCTAATAATCATGTACCATAAATATTATTTTTTATATATATTTGGTAAAAGTAAAAAATATATGATTTCTCGGGAAGTGTGAGTGACACTTTTTATGAGACGGAGGGAGTATGTATCTCTGGCCTGTATATTATAATTGATTATATGCATTGTAATCTATATATCTATATCTCTTATAATAAAGCTAATCTCCACTATAAGTCTATCTCAACATGCAAGTCATCCACATCATCCCCCGGTAACTATCGACGTCATCTCTCACTAATAACCATGTCATCCCACTAACTTCCAATTTCTTAATCAGTTAATTGTAAGCTATTCACATACGCCATCTATTCAATTTCGTTCTAAATTCATCGCAATCCTTGCAGCAACGCGCGGGGTACTTCTAGTTACGTCTGATAGTTGACTGCTGAGGTGGACGGCTTGCATTTCGAGATGTAATTCTAGTAGGATTTATGATTATATAGGATATATATACCATTGAAGGCGAAGAAAGGTCAATGCACGATCTTGGACAAAGGATAAATCCAGCACTCTCATCGCACCATTTTGAGGGGAAACTTTGTTTCTTTTTTTTAAAAAAAACTTTTCAGGTAACTAACCTAGAACAGAAGACATGAAAAAGTTTAGTCCTGAACCAAACCATCTTGTAAAAACTCTCAAATGTCTAGATCTCGGTTAGTCTCAAATGTCTAGATTTCAAGTAACTAATAACCGAGAACAGAGGACCTTTTTTGCGAGAAAGGTTGAGCTTTATTAATCAGGAAAGGTTACATCATTACCACTAATCTTACAGCAAAATTAGGTACATGTCGCAACAACATTGCCGAGAAGACAAAACTTTATAATTAAGCATCATACTATGCTAGAAGACCATCAACTCTATTATGTTTTCTCTTTATGAAAGCAAAACCCAGTCCCCCTGAAGCTCATCCGCGAGCGCTCGTGTTTCCTTAAAAATACCGTTACAAGTTACAACATTATTAGAAAATATACATGCCCCAACTGAGCATCTCCAATAGTTATCTAAATCTCCTCCTAATCGTGGTTTTTTTTCGAAAGATGAGAAAAAATCCATCACCAACGACTCCTAAGTCTTCGAGCCATATACGGGGGTTAAATAGTGAGTAAAGAACAATATGTACAGCACTCATAGTGGGGTTTGAGCCCAGCATGGGCTTGAGGCGAAAGCGCGAGTGTCTCGACATTGAGGTCGTCGAGTGGCCCGGGGCCGATGGAGGGCGATCCTCCTCCAATGGACGCCCGGATGAGCGCCTCCTCGGGAAGGCAGAGTACGCCGAGGTGGTCGGCGACGAAGTCTAGACTCCCGAAGAGGAAGGTCTAGAGTGGCACAACGACGGGAGGAACCCACATCCCAACAGGTGGGAGTGTGGGAAACTCCAGCGAGCCGATGCGAATCGTATCGCTCGAGCCCGCCATGCTGAAAATGGTGGAAAGGTGGGACATCCGATGACCAAAAACATGAACGCACAACGTCTTCCCCACGGACGGCGCCAACTATCGATGCAAATTTGACCAACAAGTAAATATTTGTAGTTTTGTCGTGCATTGTGATCGGATGTGGCCTAGCACTCAATGACACAAGATTTATACTGGTTCAGGCAACGTGCCCTACGTCCAGTTTTAGTCAGTCGGTGACTTTATTCCTGAGCCCAGGTGCTCGAAGTTTATTGTGGGGTTACAAACGAGTAAGGAATGAGAAGGGAGGTGTTACAGGCCCGGTCGGACTTTGAACCGAATGGGTGAGAGTGATGGGTGCTCTAACATGCGCTAAGTATTGGAGCGTATGCTCTGTGTAGCTGTCAAGTTCTAGAGCTATTGAGTTGTTCGAGTCCTCAAGTCGTTGAGTCCTCGAATCGTCTAGCCACCTCTGTTGGGAGAGAGTGCATCCCCTTTTATAGTTGAAAGGGATGGCCTTGCAAGTCAGAGAGAAAGTGTCGGGGACCTAATACCGGGGTACCTAATGAGGTGGAACTAATGACCATCGAACGTTGACACTTCCGGTCAGACGAGAACGCTACTGCGCTTCTTGTCCGAACGACGAAAGATTGGTTTCGCCTCGCCCGACCTCTAAGGGCTAGGCTCCGCCTCGCCCGACGTCCAAGGGTGGGCTCCGCCCCGCCCGACGGCTAAGGACTGGCTCCACCTCGCCCAACCCCCAAGGGATGGCTCTGCCTCGCCCAACCCCCGAGGGCTGGCTCCGCCTCGCCCGACGTCCAAGGGTAGGCTTTGCCTCGCCCGACGTCCGAGGGCAGGCCCCGCCTCGCTCGACGACTGCACCCTGGTCCTTCATAATGACAAGCACAGGGTACAACGGGACATTCGAGTCAAACGTAGTACCAAGGACCATGCCCTGCACGCTGTAGGAAAGTATCGTCAGGGTACGACGGGACGGGCGCTTTACACCCTTCCAGGTATGGCAGAGTCCGAATAGTGTTGTAGGCTCCGCCTTCAGCCCTCGGGCGCGGAACATGACATAAACATACGACAACCACTACGGTCTAAGAAGAGACTTGTGTCCTCTACAGTGACGAACGTGCAGTCACCGCGTCGTCCGCTCCCCACAGGGCTGCAGGTCAACACCCCTGTCCAACACGCCGCCCGAGGGGACGGGACGTGACCACTTGCTGATCAAGTAAGGGTGTGGCGTCGTCAGCACACAGGCGCCCGGCGAACATGCCATTCCTTGACACCATCTGGCCATGTCAGCGAGGCTGGCTCAAGGGAAAAGGAAGACCCAGCGCCTTCGGAAGGGCTTCTTGGCCTCTGGCTTTTCCCCTTTCTCCAAGATGTAACCCCTGTCTTTCCTTGGTCTATAAAAGGGAAGACAGGGCACCCCGCTAAAGGGACGGATTAACTCACAGAGAGATCAATCGATATGATTCGACAACACACATCAAACACAGCTGAGCAGCGACTAAGCTTTCGGCGACCTTTCGACCATTCCATCAGAGACTTAGGACCCGTCCCTCTCTCGATTGTTTGTACCCCCTACTACGAACCCTTTTCGGTACTAATAACATGAGCAGCAGCAGACTGGACGTAGGGACATTCAGCCCGAACCAGTATAAACCTTGTGTCCTTTAGTGCACCATCCGGACCTAACGCGCAACAATTATAAATTTACTAGCCGGTGTTTGTTCGAAACACCGACAGAAAGAGAAAGAATGTATACGTGTGCTACCTAGTCTTGTTGCCCACGTTGTCGAGTATGAGATGGTCGTCGGCGCCCACAATATTGTTTATGTTCAGACGCATCTGGCAGGCCCTACCGTGTTCGTCTGGTACGACAAACATCGGCGGTGCTCTGACGCGTGTGGAAAGTTGTATAGTGCCCGTCTGGCATGGCCTAGAGGCACCGTCCTGCAGGTGCGCTGGGCATGGCAGAGTACGGTCCTCGGTATTGCGGTTGATTTGAGCGCCTTACCTTATCTGCTCCGCCTGATCCCCGGGCCCTCACCGAGTGGGCGTCCCCGGTCGATCGTTCCCAGTCGGCCCCTACCGTGTCGGTCGGAAAAGAGCAGCGAGCAGAGGTCCGGCGTATCCTCGGTCGGAGAAAGAGGTCGGAGTCGGACTGCAGTTCCACCTTGGCCATGCCTTCTGGTCTGGGACCGGATCGTTGTCTCGGCTTGTCATTATGTATCTGGGCCGGCCCAGGCGCGTGTTGTCGCTGCGCCGCCTGCTGGGCCGGGTTTTGCAGGGAAGCGGGTTTATTGGGGACCCTGGGTTTATGAACACGACACTATGCTAAAATTGTATTCTTTTCGGGACGAAAGAAGTACAATTCAATATTTCCAAGAGTTTAAATTATTTTTCTGTGATATTGTAGCTATATTTTGGTTGTTGCAATATGAAAACAAAAATCCTTAGTTCCATTTGTGACAAATATAATGGTCTACTAATACAACTCAATTATTCTAAGAATTTCAAAATTTTCTATTATGATATTGTAGCTATAGTTTGGTTGTTCTATCATGAAAAAAATCATCAGTTCTATGTTATTTTTGGAATTATTTCATTCTTGTCAATCTGTTGTCCTGCTAGTAGTACAATTCATTGTTCCAAAGATTTCCGAAATGTTCTATACATGATACATGTAATTGATTGTTCCAGTAGAAAACTCCCGCATTGTTCTATGCTGCTACAATAAACATTGTTTTTAGTTTATTTTGTTTATTTTGGTCTGCTAGGTTTCGGCCTTGTATTTCAAAGTGCCGTACGTGTGTCACATGCCGAGGCGCCAAGCTAACTTGTCCTTCCTGCAGCTGGGTGCAAATCTCGTCTGAATCGATCTAGCCACTCGTTGGAGGCTTGAGTCTCATGTGGCATCTGGCTGTGGGGACGACGTGGGCTCGAGGGAACTGTGCGAGGCCTGTTTCTTTCCTAACAGAGATCTTGCTGGGGTCTAGCAATATCCATAGAACAGTGACAAACCGTCCATGTGTACTGCCGCAGATTCTTTCGTAGGAAGTGTACAGCTTGAGAGCGAGTAAAAAAGAGAAGTTGTTTTATCAACCGTCCAACGGTTGAAGCCAACAAAGAAAAACTGCTCAATCAGTAAAGTAGAGATATACCAAAATTAATATGACCTAATTATCTATACATACATAGACTTTTATAGTAGATTTAGTTCAAGACATAAATGTTAATACTATTTGGTATAAACTTGGTCAAAATTTAGTCATCAATAAGTTGTGTTTTTTGTGGACTGAGGTAGTAGTATTTTACTACAGTACCATAGTTACCGATACATACATACATACATACATACATACATACATATATATATATATATATATATATATATATATATATATGTATGTATGCACATTTATTTATCTATGCATGTATATATAATTTATTCATGCGCAATGGTCATACGCATCAGAGGCCATATTGACAACAGTACTGCACAACTGTTCAATCGTACACTCTTGTCACGCGCTTTGCATTGCTCGATCAACTTTTGACGTGCATGCATGCCTATTACTATTATATCTAGACTAGACAGCTTGTAGTACGTAGTAACTGTATCACTTGACTACTAATCAGCAAATTAATGCAAAACACAGCCATATATGCTTTGATGCTTGCTTGCTTGCATTATTTCATACAGCCGGCCGGCCAGCAGCACGACGATCATATCATCAGGCAAGTGGGTACGAGAAAATCCTCTGGCCGCGCGACAGGATCGCCATGGGGTCGTATTTCCTCTTTCGCCGGAGGAAGGTGTCCCACCTGCGGGGCCCGAAGTGGCGCGCCGCCCACTCCGCCTGCGTCGCGTAGTAGGGCAGGTACTGCGTGCACCGGATGCCGGCGGCCTCGCAGAAGCGCGCCACCTCCGCGTTCTGCTCCTCCATGCGCCGCAGGTCGCCGTCCGCCACCGCCGACCGGAGGATCCCCACCGTGTAGAACACCCCGTCCTCGTCGTCGTCAGGGAGCACCGCCGACGTGGCGCCGTCCCACTTGCCCCGGTTCAGGGGGTAGACGAGCACGGGGCCGCCGCCGCCGCCGCCCTTGCCGGCGCCGCCGTCGTCGCGGCGGAGCAGCACGCCGTGGAAGACGCCCGCGGCGAAGTCGAGGATGCGGGAGCGCGGGAGGAAGAGGTTGAGCCACGGGTGCGGCACGTCCCAGAGGCCCTCGCCGCGGAGCTTGCCCTCGCCGGCGCTCACGCGGTCCAGGAACTGCACGTACGACACGTCCTGCACGATCGCGAACCCCCGCGCGTACCGCAGCTCGCGCACCAGCACCTCCACACCCTGCATGCATCATGAGTGGCTTTTGGTCGATATCACGATGGACAAGTGTCACGTTGTGTGCAAGTGCAAAGAAGATTCGGTCACTACTACTGTTGCTTTGCATGTGTCCATGCCGGGATCTGCGCGAGTACACGTCAACTTGCACCATGGTAGTCTAGTCCGTCCAGCCGTATGATGGTGATATGAATGGGTTGAGTTGTGGTGCTCGACTGCTTGCACGGTCAGGCCTGGTTTTTAGTTCCCAAAAATTTTATTCTAAACTATCACATCGAATCTTACATTACATGTATAGAGTATTAAATATATCGAAAAAAACTAATTGCACAGTTTGGTTGAAAATCGCGAGACAAATATTTTAAGAGTAAGTAGTCCATGATTAGCCATAAGTGCTACAGTAACTAACATGCGCTAATGATGGATTAATTAGACTTAATAAATTCGTCTCGCAGTTTCCAGACAAGCTATGTAATTAGTTTTTTTTATTAGTATCCAAAGACTCCTTCTAATATTCCCGAAACATCTAATGTGATGACATCAAAAATTTTCATTTTAGGACCTAAACACAGCCCTGCCTACAGATGCTACTAGTACGTGCTGTTGCTGTCGTTGGTGCAAACAGATCGATCCGTCGTTGGCAGAGCGCTGACGCCGGTCTAGCTATAGCTTGCTAGTATAGCAGGAGTATGTGGATGCGAGCTGTGCAGTACCAGTATGTGAATGCAAGCTGTGCAGTATTTAGATCTTTGGCATCTTGCATTATTATTGTAGGAGGGAGTATCCTCTCTAGCTAGTAGGTGAATGATTCGTTTCTATAGCCAAGTACTGATATGGCTAATATAATTTTGTTTTTGGGGCGCTAGTTTTATAATATGACTACTTTGAATCATCTGTCTCTAGCTAGCTAGCTAGCTAGGGGTAGTCCCTCCCTTCCAATACACAAGTCGTTCTCTATTCTTGAGAAATCAGCTTTTTTTACTTTGATCAATTATATATAAAAATATTAATATTTATAATATATAATTAATATTATTAGATAGATCATTGAATATACTTTCATAATAAACTTATTTGAAGATATAAATGTTGTACGTATTTTCTACAAACTTAGTCAAATTTAGGAAATTTTGACCTACACATATCCCATAACGACTTCTATCGTGGGACGGAGGGAGTACTCCATAGGGGTCATGACTTATTATTCTTGTTATACAACTAGAGTAGTATTATCAAAAACATTATAGCCAATTAACAGCAAATATACCATCAATGATTAATTAAGGTATTAGCTAGTAGGTGAATGATTCGTTTCTATAGCCAAGTACTGATACTGGCTAATATAGGGTGTGTTTAGTTTGCAAGATAAAAAATTTTAATGTCATATCGGATGTTTCGGGGACGTCGAAAGGGGTTTTCGGATACTAATAAAAAAACTAATTACATAGCTCGTCTGGAAACTACGAGACGAATTTATTAAGCCTAATTAATCCATCATTAGCGCATGTTCAGTACTGTAGCACTTATGGCTAATCATGGACTAATTAGTCTTAAAACATTCGTCTCGCGATTTTCATCCAAACTGTGCAATTAGTTTTTTTTCTATATTTAATACTCCATACATGTGCCGCAAGATTCGATGTGATAGTTTAGGGTGAAAATTTTTGGAAACTAAACCAGGCCACCAGAGCTGGAGAAGTCAGTTTTTTTTAACTTTAATCAATTATATATAAAAACATATTAATATTTATAATACATAATTAATATTATTAGATGATAGTTGAATATACTTTCGTAATAAACTTATTTAGAGATATAAATATTGCATATATTTTTTACAAACTTAGTCAAAGTAGAAAAAATTTGACCTACACGTATCACATAACGACTTCTATTGTGGGACGGAGGGAGTACTCCATAGTGGTCATGACTTATTATTCTTGTTATCCAACTGGAGTAGTATTATCAAAAACATTATAGCCAATTAACTGCAAATATACCATCAATGATTAATTAAGGTATTAGCAGTCTAAATTATATAGAATTTCAACAACTTGTTGTCAAAAGTATTTCTTATTTCTTTGTTTTGTGTTCACAAAATGATATGTATTGTATGCATCTTAATAAAATAAACTACATAATGTTTTTTTTTACCATAGAGGCAATGTAAGATTTTTAACTACTAGCCATCTAAAAACTCCAAAATATTCAGTATGTCTAATTAAGCAGGTCCGTATAGTATATATAGGACAACTGTTTCTCAAAAGAAATATCAGAAGCTAAGAGTTTAAGATGAATATAGGAGATTATTCAAATTCGCCAACTAAAAGCTTGTGCAATCATTTCGAAAACAAGGGTTTTGTGAAATTATTGCTCTAGCCTAAACACTCATTGTACAAACGTAAAACTACATTTATTTTCCACAAGAGCAAAAATGGAAAGTTAGGTGTGTACTTCGTTTTTTTTTGTGAAGTGTGTACCCGAACTCCACATGCCTGCCGCTACCGGTGATCTTTTAGCTTACGAAATGTGTGTGTGAATAATGTCTACTTAATTATTCAATAAAAATTATGGAGCTGTTTGGATGATGTAGTTTAGAAAATTATGGTATCAACAAACTGTTATATATATAGGGTAAAGTCATACAAAACGTGGTTTAGAAAAAAGAAATTGTGGGTGCAATTTCTAAAAGTCGAAAAGGACTATGATTTTGATAAAGCCATAGTTTTAGAAACTAAAATGTTTGTTGGAGCAAAACACTTAGAAGTTCTTGAAAACCAAAATATTTTGCAAAATCAAAGTACTTATCTAATATTTAAGAAATAGTTTACATCCAAATAAGGCTTAAAGTGTGCGTGTTTCATTTCCTTGTGTGCTCTCTGTTAGTCTATTCCCTTCATTTTAAAATACAAGGTGTGGTTTGACTCATCGGTCTCTAAGGCCAGTCTCAGTGGGAGTTTCATATAAGTTTTATTTGTATTAAATAGGTTGACACATAGGCATTTTTATGACATGGCAGTGTATTTAAGAAGAAAGAGAATAAATGAGTTTCATCTCTTGGCACGATTACCAACTATCTATGAGTCATGAAATGAAATGCCTATGAATCTATATATAGAATGAAACTTTGCATTGAGAGTGGATATATCATCCAAGTTTCATTGTCTTAGAAACAACGTCATGAAACTATCCACTGAGACTGGTCTAAGACAGCAAGACTAGATTTTTGTACTAACTTACCTTAGCACTAAAATGTTTGTAACAACAAAATCATATCATATAATAGCCAATATAACAAGAAAATTATATTATGCGAGGCTAACAGCCTGTTCGGCAGGCTGGTTCGTTTCGTTGCTGGTTCGTGAAGAAGTACTGCTGGCTGATTTGTGTGAGAGAAAAATATTGTTCCGGCTAAATATTTACGAGCGTATATATACGACAAGCACCAGCCAACAGTGTTGAGGCTTTGACTCTTCAAATGGATGCAAGTCTTATAAAATTGAAACTATGTGGGAGTAGCTAGCTAGAAAAAAAAGTGCCCAAAAAGCTTTGGAATGATATGCACGATAAGGGACCGACAACGGCAGGCCATGCAAGTACGATGTTGACGCTGCAGACTGCCGATGCTGCACCGTTGTGGCGTTGCAGTTGTAGCCAGACATGCATGCGTCACACGCCAAAAGTTGATCGAGATCGATCATGTGGCTGGCGTATGCACGTAGAAATAAACCGGCGGCCGGCGGCGGGTCATCGAGAGTGTTACCTTGTCAACGTCTGCGGCGGTCCTGTCGCCGGCGCCACCGTAGTACAGCGCGCCCTCGAGGCAGTACAGGACGCCGCCGGCGTCCTTGGCTAGCGCGGCGATGCGCTTGGCGTCGGCCGCCGAGTAGAAGGACGACGGCGGTTGAGAGCGCCAGCTGCCGATGAGGCCCTGGAAGTCGGTGAGGACGGAGCCCTCGACGTAGTCCATGAGCCCGGCCAGCGCGCCGCCGCCGCGCTCGTCGATGAGCCGCTCCTGGTCGGTCGTAAGGTCCGCGGCGCCGGTGTAGAGGAGCCGCACCCAGCGCGCCCTGGCCGGCGCCGGTGCCAGCGGGATCCGCGCGCGCGTTATGATCCCGAACTGCCCCAGCCCTCCCAGCACGGCGTCGAAGAGGTCGGCGTCCTTGTGCTTGGAGCAGGTGACCACCTCCCCAGTCCCCGTGACGACGTCGAGCTCGAGGACGTTGGATATCTGCGGGCCGTGGCGGAACGCCTGGCCGCTGATGCCGGCGTTGGAGAGCGTGCCGCCGACGGTGAGGCGGAGGTAGTCCGTCCAGGACCGCGGCGTGAGGCCGTGCGCCAGCGCGGCGTGCAGCACGTCCACCCACAGCTGCTCGCCGCCGGCGTCGATGTAGCTGCCGCCCACCGACACGGCGAGTCTGCTTGCGGCGGAGGAGTGGCGCCCTGCGAGCGACGCCATGTCGATGACGACGCCGCCGGGGGCCGTGGCCTGGCCCCGGGTGGAGTGGCCGCGGCCCCTCGCGGAGATCGGGAAGGGCGAGGCGCTCGCGCTGGACGCCCGCAGCAGCGCGGCGATGTCCGCCGCGCACGACGGGTAGAACACGGCCGCGGGGCGCCGCGCCGCGTCCACGGTCACGTTGGTGCCGAAGTCGGTGGACGCGCGCGCCGTGGCCTCCGCGTCCGTGCGGATGCGCGCCGCGGTGGTGTCGGCGAGGACCCGGATGATGTCGTCGATGACAACGGACGACGACGCGGTCGGCGGCGGCGGCGAGACGGCAAGCGTGGGCCGGTGCGGGTCGACGGTGAGGACCGAGAAGACGTAGCTGAGGAGGAAGCAGAGTGCGACCGTGGTGGTCGTGGCTCTAGCCATCGTCATGACCGATCGATCACTTGATGGAGCTCTAGCTCCCCCGGGCGCCCGGCTCTCGTTTTGACGATGTATATTGTACACGCAGCAGTGCAGAATATATGAGATCTGCGGAAAAAGACCGAAGATATTGGTGTCGTGCAGTGCTAGCTCTTGCTAGGCGATCCATGATCAGACACGTACACAATGCATGCAATTGCAATGTTGTCAGTTGATCAGCTAGGCGCAGCCGTTCACGAAATTAAAAGGAGAAGAGATATATACGCCGTGCATAGGTACATATACACTGTACCGTGATGTTGCGGCCGCCGACCGCGTGAGTGTGTGTGTGTGGAGAAAAGCTGTATCATTAGGCAGCCGTATACTAGTAGGTCGTATAGTAGCTGCATGTGAGGCAGGCTAGAGCCTCTAAAGTGGCTTAGTGGGGCCTGGTTTCAGACTGTTTACGTGCAACCAAACAGCTACAAATTGGCTTTCTGAAGTCTGGTACTCCCTCCGTCCCATTGAGTTTGTCGTTGGAAAACCGTGCCCCCCTCACAATCCCGCTTCCCGAGCGACAATCTTAACGGGACGGAGGGAGTACCACCCAACCAAACAGGCCTTATCTGCAGACAGGCACTGCACCGGCACCGACCATGCGCCAGTACTGTGTACATGATTTTGTACACAGAGTACGTGCTCTTCCATTTCAAAACAAGTCAATCGGCTTGTTTGTTGGTTGATTTCTGGGCTGATAAGCCCGGTTAGTGCTGGTTTGTTATGAGAGGAAAACACTGTTGGCTGATTGATAAGCCACGGTGAAACCAACAAATGAACAGGCTAAATATCTCACGTTATAAGTAATAAAAAAAAATTAAGTTTGGCTAAATATATACACATAATAGTATCAATATATATTTGTATCTCTAAATAATTTTTTTATGAAACCGATAGAATTGTTTATTTTTTCTGACGACAGACACCAATTTCCCTGCCGGTTACTTGTGTCTGGAATAGAATTCTAGACGTGGTGGCTGGAAACTTTCCTGGCGACGTCATACCAACAAGGAAATTAGTATCTCTACGGGAAATTGGTCCACCTACAAGAAAATTTTCTATTTATTTTGTCGATGTATTTCTGTTGGTATATACCCATAGAGAAATTAGTTTTCGCATTTCCCTGTCGGTATTTTATATTTCCCTGTCAATTTTTAGTAGTGAAAGTATGTTCCACTATCAATCTAATAATACTTATATATCATAAATATGAGTACCTTATATATATATATACACACACACACACACACACACACACTGAAGAAGGTTTGATTGATCCCTAGAGAATCAAGATATGCACTTGTTTTTTGATGCAGAGAGTGTACAATGCAGACGACCATGCACGGCCGCAAGGCCGTGCCGGTCATGAACCTAGCTAGCGGAAATTTCCTGGCACGAAAAGTAGCCATGATAGGGGAGGGGATACATTCCCCTACATCTTAGAGAGAGTGTGTCTTTATGTAGTTTAATTAAAACTTTAAGTATTAGGAATAGAATGAGTTATCTGTTAGAGCAACTTCAATATAATCTCTCATATAACAGTTTATAAAGTAATCGGTTGAAGATGTTCTAGTAGTGCATAGATATTCGTTTATATATTTGTATATTTATTAAAGTTTTAAAAGTTTAAGCTAAGATAAAACTTACATATTGGAACAAAGGGAGCATTTGATATTTTACCATGAAAAAGGTATATGCTGTAATAATGCACGGGAAGTCGGAAACGAACGTCATATGACAACGTGAACGGAAGGAAATGACTAGTGTACTGTTAATCGCAAGGGGCCAAAATATGTGAGTTGCTAAATCACAGTGCCTGATTTTTACTTTTATTTCAGGCGACGAATATCATTCATCTAATCTACATCCAATGATCAGCACTCATCCCCATTCTTAGGACCTAACACCTTCTCTCTTGTTGTTAGTTCATCTTCAGTTTCAGGCAACTGTAGGATAGGAACTGTGCCAAAATATAGGCCCCGTTTGGCCGGGCTCCCACGTGCTCCGTCTCCTACACTGTAGCGACACTGTAGCCGGAGCCGGAGGAGCCCAAAAAACGAGCTTCTCCCTCTCAGAACGGCTCTGTGAGAGAGGAAACGAAGAGAGAAAAAACCGACTCTGATGAACAGTGTCCGCACATGGCGTGAACAGTGCGCAGTAGAGGGAGCCGGAGCTGCACCAAAGGGGGCCATAGTAGTACTAATGATCGAATATTAGGCACGGATCCGGACCAGACAAGCAAATAGGCTGTAGTACGCGGCGCATCAAATCCACTGTTCCTGCGCATTGACCCCACTACCCCAGCCTATTCGTTTCGGCTTATTCGCTCGTATCTGGCTTATAATCCACGGCTTGAACAGTGTTTTTCTCTAACACCAAACTAGCCAGCAATACTTTCAGCCATGGCTTATAAGCCAATTCAGCCGAAACGAATAGGCTGCTTGTCAGTTAATACCTAGGTTTAAATCTAGCTTTCAAAAATTCATGGAATAAGAGACTTTCCAGCTCGGATCCACTATAATCCTGAGGCTTCTTTTGCTCAGTCTTTTTTGGTTGTATTCTCTGAACCCATGGCTCTTGCGTTGTTTGGTGAAGCCCTCCAACAACTAGAAAGGTCAAATTTGCAGTTAAGTGACAATTCTTCTCAGAGGAAACAAAAAGACAGAGCAGAATATATGGCTATATCAAAACATATGGTTGCTAAATGAACATAAACGAACAGTATAGAAGTGCTACGACATTCGGTTGCCAATGAGGGTGCCCTGTGGTGCTTGGCAGGGGCATCCACGTTGCATAAGCTCTTTGCTAGGTCGCTCGTCCTAGGTTACATAATTTTACCTTTACTGGGATCATATTAGGCTACTCATCAGGCATGGAGTTTTGCATATAGTAAAAAAATTCTAGCCTAAAGTGCACCCTACTATACAAAATAATGGCTAAGCTGCGAGATAAACAAGCAACGAGTGGTAACTACTAACATGAATTTAGCAATGAATAAGAGCCATCTTTCATAGCCAAGGAACAGAACAAAAACATAATATAATACTAACTAATGGCAAGCAAGGTAAACTATGCATGCACAGTTCTTGATAAACAATACACAACCTGTGGGTTTCGTGAGACCCAGTATATGTCTCCATCAAAATCGCTGTTGGCCATTTCATCTGCCAAAGATCGTGGTCCACAGGTGGGGGAAAGAATATGGCATATTTGGAATTTCCCACAATCTTCTCCAAACCATCGATATATGTTGCAGTCAATATATGTATATCGCCAAAGTGTAATCCAGGATGTTTATAGACAAGAACCTTTCCAGAAAGTTGGCCGTTGTCACTGTTTATTGATATAAATTGAGTAAGAAAAAGAGCTCACAATTAGTCTTTTGGACTGATTCAAAAAGTTGGTAGAACCTTAACTAAGTTCATAAAAAAACTAAAACTCTAGAAGCCCCACATATTTTATGAAACACAAGAGATCTAGAAGATCCAAATATTCCATAACAACGAAGCTTTCTAGTCCAAAGAAGGTTTGGTCAGGATATAAACCTAACAAGTGAAATACACAAAGAAAAAAAAAATCAAGAGACAGAAATAGAGGATAAAATAAAATGTAAAGAACGAACGTCATATGGCAATGTGAACGGAAGGAAATGACTAGTGTATTGTTAATCGCAAGGGGCCAAAATATGTGAGTTGCTAAATCACAGTGCTTGATTTTTACTTTTATTTCAGGCGACGAATATCATTCATCTAATCTACATCCAATGATCAGCACTCATCCCCATTCTTAGGCCTAACACCTTCTCTCTTGTTGTTAGTTCATCTTCAGTTTCAGGGACCTGGGCCTTGTTTAGATTGAAGATTTTTTCAACCCGATGAATAGTAGCACTTTCGTCTTATTTGGTAAATATTGTCCAATCGTGGACCAACTAAGCTCAAAAGATTCATCTCGTGTTGCAATTAGTTATTTTTTTACCTACATTTCTTCTAAAAAATTGATTTCTTGGAATTTGGGGCTCATCTAAACAAGGCCCTGTAGGATAGGAAATGTGCCAAAATATTAGGCACGGATCCGGACCAGACAAGCAAATAGGCTGTAGTACGCGGCGCATCAAATCCACTGTTCCTGCGCATTGACCCCACTTCCCCAGCCTGGAAGGCAAGATCGTGTGGTGGTGCACACTGGGCACGATCCCAGACGTACACATCCCACCAGCCTGTAAGCTACTAGGGTCTAGTAGGAGCAGAGAGCAACACGACAACAACGACGACTGATGCATCCCGCGACCGGAACGCGTACGAGACCACACAAAACGTACGCAAACAACTGGCCGGTACATCATGAACAGGGTGATGGATGGGTCGACTGATTTGTTTCCTCCGGCGATCGATCGGTCGACGATGGATGGATGGGTCCATTGCCTGCCATCGGTGGCCACCAGCTAGAGCTAGCTTTCGCGTTCGGAAAGGGGCCGACACGGCCTGCGCCGGTGACCGAAATGGATATACTCCCTCCGTCATGTCTAGGTTAAATTATACGCCACTGCTTATAGCCCTGGGTAAATTTTACCGAGAACCGAAATCTCGTTTTCCTGTTCGGTTCCCATTTCCTAAGAACTGAAATTTGTTCGGTTAATTCGGTTCCTCCTCTCGGTTAACCGAACTAGCCGAGGAACCGAACTCTCACCTCCCGGAGACCCGGAGTCCCGGCGCCCCCTGCGACGGCCGACCTCCCGTGGCGCCGCATCCCCGCCCAGAGTCCGGCGCGCCCTCCCGAGTCGCTGATTTTTTGGAAGCTGGAGTTGGTCGGTTAGTTCGGTTCGGAAGTGGAACCGAACCGAACTAACCGAAGTCGAACTTCGTCGGTACCGATTTTTTGGAAGAACCGATCGGTACCGACTTTCCTAAGAACCGAAGAACCGAGGAACTGAGGATTCGGTTCGGTAGTACCGAATACCCACGGCTAAC